GAAATCCTTCGCATGCTGATCTTCTTCTTACCTCGGATGAATGATGTCATTGATGCCACCTCGCAGGCTATATCGGATATTTCCGCGAGCCAGGCATGACTAGTTGGCGGCAAGCGCTAAAAACCAGGGTTCTTCGCTACGATTTTCCACGAATAAGACCCAGCGCTTTGCGATTAACTTTTGCTTCACCTACTTCTTGCCCTGGCACCTTCAGCCAACCGAGGGACTTACTAAGAATAACGACAACGAGAATCTCGAAGACGAGTCGATCACTTTTTTGAAGGAAGACCTTCTATAGGCGTACCTCACCCATGCACGAGGCGCGCCTAAAATCGAAGCAGCCAACGTCCAACTCGAGGCCACCAAGCAATATGCCCTCACCATGGACATATTCCGCTGCTCTAAGGACATATAATTATCGAAGATTAGTGGCATCAACCAAATAGAGCTCCATACAAGAAACACATCGCCGCACCATACTCCTAAATAAATTACATCGATAAATATAATTTAAATATTTTCATCCCCAGAATCCTATTTCGACACACTCCTTCTACTTATTATAACCATCATTACAATAAGACTTTACCGAGCCACATGCTACTCTAAAAATCCAATCCCCATTCAATTCTTTAATATATTTTTCATTTCGTTTATATTATTATCAATTTAAAAATCCAAATCGATATCCAATCACTAAATAATCCATGAAAAACATATCGTCCATAAAAAAGACTCATAATATGCAAAAAAAAATTTAACGACGATATCGAACAAAACCCAATAATCACATATTTCATTTAAATTACCCAAGAAACGAAATTCGATAAAACCAGAATCTTATATTCATTTATATAAATAGAAAAAATCCTTATTGTAAAGAAATAAAAAATATCCGCAGACCCCCTGCCTAACTGACGCCCAGGCGGGGCGGCGCCTAGGACACCGCAGGGGAAAACAATTGCTCAGACCAAACAAATCCAGAGCGTTTCGCCATGGCTCCGCTGCCTTTCGAGGGTGCCGTTTCTAGAGGTGGCCGTCGGTTGCATTCTACCTTAGATACATACCTCTGACTCAGCTGCCGGGATCCCGAAAGCAATGCATCAAGCGACGTCAGGCATTTTCGTTGGCTACGTCCCCGCCCCCCCGTTCCGACCGTAGGCAAAAATACATGGTATCGTTTGCCGCCCGGAAACCCTCCGTTACGATTGCATTCTATTTATATGCATACCTCAGCCTTAGGATAAGCGCAAGGAATCGAAACGATTTAATTTCGAAATATCCATTTCGTAGCAAATGCAATACCTTAAATACGATATATTTTTAGACGACAACCAATCAGCATAAATACGACCCGCGCAAAAAAAAAAAACCCGATTACGTAGAGGCAGTAGTTATTCGAATTTAAAAAAAAAAATTAGAATATTTGTTTCTACTAACCATCTATCGTAAAATTGCTTCCCTTTTTATTTTATATTTTTCAAATCAATATGCATTATTCAAATAAAACCTAATTCAATTAAAAATTCGGATTAACAAATCATTAATATAAATCGATTAATCCATATAAACATTTCTTCCCATCAAATTACAATATTTACCAAAATAATTAAAATTCATAATCGTTTACTAAAATATATTAAATACCAATTATTAAAAAAACATAAAACATAAAATAAATATGCCCGGCATCTTTTATATAATATAAATTCTATTCAAATTTTTAACATTCCCGTCCAAAACATAAAAAATATCATAATCTTAAAAAACTAATTTAAACATTACGAAAGAAAATAAAAACAAAAAACACCACAATTTAAAACCTCCTCAGAGCTCAATACCTATATATTAAATTTTTAAAACTCTACCAAACAATATATAATCGTTTTTTTTCTTCATTATTATCAATATAATAATTATTCATACGTATTAATACCAATTAATAAATTATTCATACTTATTCAAATAAATATCCTTCTATCGACACAAAAAACGCCTCTCCTTCAAGATATCCATCCCAAAAAAAAAATCGGCAATACCAAGGCGGAACCCTTACAATAATTCTATTGTAATTACGAAACCATAATGCCATATTATTCGAATTAACTAAATCTCCTTAAAATATAAAATATAAAAAAACTAAAATGACAAGATTAATAACGATTATTAAATCATATTTTATAAATATATATATCCGATTAATCGAAATAAATTCCATAAGCCAAATCTATCTAAATCATAAACGAAACATCTCCTAATCCGGACAAACTATCATTCCATTCCAATTTTCTTTAAACGAGATTCGGCGTTTCCATATCACGACAATATACTAAATTTAACGTTAACTCAAGAAAAGCGCAACTCCGACCTATATAAACTACAAAATCAATCAATTCAATCAATTCCTAACAATTAATCTTTTACAACCGAACGTCGATTAATGACCTGCAAAGCACTCATTACAATTCGAACAATGAACATAGAATCATCCTATTAAACACACAAAACAGGGCGAGGGTGAATCTCTAAAAAAGAACGATACAAACACATATTGATAGAAATATCAATACTCAACAAAAAGAATACGTTGACACGTTAGAAAGCATTCCCATTTCCAAAGAAGAAGAAAAGAACAACTCCTATGGATATTATGGTGAAGTCCGGTCCTCGAACCCTTAATTGAGTTTAGCAAGATTGAGGCAATGAACGCAAACTACAAGTGGACATCGAGAATTCCAATTACTATCAGTGTGGATTCTTGACCAGTGTTCGACCATCTAGATGGGCAGCTCATGACAATGGAGGACAAAAGGGACATCGCAAAGGATGAAGTCTCCATTAGATGGCAACTGACCATATGTTGGTTAAATGTATGCATGGACCTCCTACGAAAGGTGATGATATACTGCAAAATGAAGTTAAAGGAGGATCTAATAGTCCTACGTGGTTGGTGTGTGTTTGGTTTGTTTGATGAAAAAAAGGTCAAAGATCCAAAGGTGACAGGAATCAAAGAGGGATTGTATCCCGGCACGGGCCCCCCCCTTCAGCTATTGATAAAACGACCGCAGTGCCATGGCATCATGACCACTGACAGATGAAACCTCGTTGGGTCTGTCAGATAGTCCTTTTTAATCTCCTTCTTTCTGTCGAAAGAAAAAAATAACTAAACATGCTTGTCCTTGCTGTTGCCATGATCCTTTGGATGGCAATCATCCACTAACGATTGGAACTTCATGTTATGAAAAGGACCTAGTTGTGAAAAGGACCTAGGAGGACATTTTGCTACGCAAAACACAAAGCAAAGCTTGAAGTAAGAAGAAGCTATTAGTAACAAGTGCATCGCTAGTAGTAACAAGGGCCTTACTAGTAGTAACAAGGACGCTACTAGGAACAAGTGCATCGCTACTAGTAACAAGTGCCTTACTAGTAATTTAATTCTAATTTAGTTTAACTATAATTTGTTACTACTAGTAAGGCACCTTGTTACTACTAGCGATGCACCTTGTTACTAGAAAGCTTGAAGTTCCAAACTTCGGCGCACGGAGGCCCGTGCACACTTTAGCGGGTCATTTCACGTTCACCACGTGAGCGCCACCACGGCCTGGGCAGAAACTTGCAGGTTTCTAAGCTTGAACGAGGACGCTACTAGGTTTCTAATTTGAACAGGGAGCCTGTGCTCCTTGAAGAGCTGGCCGAAGGGCTGTGCCTGGAATGCTTGATGAAACCAACCACTTTAACCAACTTGATTCCACACGCGCCTGAACTTTCGGTGAAACTCCTGGAAGGTGAAATATTTGAAGTTCAAACTTCATGCAGAAATCTACAGGAGAGAGAGAAAGAAAGAAAGAAAGAAAGAAAGAAAGAAAGAAAGAAAGAAAGAAAGATAGAAAGAAAGAAAGAAAGCAATGGCCTCACATGCTTTGTGCTTTTTTATGCATCCCGTTTCTCCTCGATGCTGTCCGGTTGGGGTTCCGCCTTCGCGGTCTCCCGAAGATCTGGGAGCAGCACACGGCCGCTTGGGGTCCTATCGTAAGCGTGAAACTTCTTCCTCGGTGCTTTGCTTTATTTATGGTTTTCACTTTTCTTCGCTTTGCGTTTTGCCTTTTTCTTTGACTTTATCTTGCTTCGTCCTGCCTTGGAACAAAAAGAGCTGGATTGGACTCTGCCTTCCTCGGACGTGGGTCACAGTACTCTGTTGTTGGAGTTCTTCTGCTCCCTCTGCCGAGGTTCGACAGTGCCTGGTTGGAATTGGCCACCTTTGATAACTTCCCATGTGGGCTCGATGGCGGCTTAGCGCTGCAAATCGCATAAATTGCACCTGGCGAAAAGTCGACAAGGCACTTTGGAAAAGGAATTGCACATGATTCATTCCCGCTATTAGTTAAGCTTCTCTAAAAATCTAGGAACCAAATGAATAGTGTGAGCGCTTCTTCAACGAAATTTTCCCCGCCGCCTTTAGCGGGCGGGGAGCTTCCTTGAAGAAGCGTGAGCTATCCTGCGTCCTAGCTACTAGCGACCTACCTCCCTTCCTTAATTAAGTAGGGAGGGGGAGCGGGCAAAAACGAAAGTAAAACAAAGGAAAAAGAAATGAAAGACCTCGCCTCCTACGAGTAAACCGATGCAAGCAAGAATGCCAGTAATGGTCAATAGGATGATCCTGAGCCAATTTTTGAAACGCTTTTGCTTAGCAAGTGATGCATGACTCACTTCCAAACGCTCTGGTGTGAATATGCACTGTCCAAGCATTGGCGAGGCAATTCCAAAAACATCTTGAAAGTGCATGCGCTGCAAGCACTGAGCTGGGACAAGTCTCACTCCGTCTAAGCCTCCTTCTCCATCCGGCATCTCTAATCCTCCTCCGTTTTGGAGGCCAGAGGCGGCCACTGAAGAGGTGGAAGTGGGTGACCTCTGTGCATCCATACGAACGGAGCGATCGGACGCTACGAGGTAGGGGCTCCTGGCCGCTCTCATGGAGCATCTTCCAGTCTGAGGAACTCAAGTCAGCTTTTCATTCTTTCAATCTCTTTGCATCTCAGCAGCGGCGAAGGGACAGGAGACCACTGTTCGCCATCTTGCAGGGGGATGGAACCCACGAAGTCCACTGGCAAGGGCACACCTCGTCGAAGCCAAAGAAGGTGAAGAGTTCACGTCTCATGTTCTTTCAGAAACAATTGAGGGGCAACGAACTAGGTTGGAGGCCATCGCTATTGGGGCAATGAATGGCAACAGCAACTTAGAAAAGCAATTCATGTCGCACCTCGTTGAGCGAGCTCCACCGATAGTTGCTCCTCAAAAATCTCTGGGCTTGTCAGAAAGAGCATTTTCTTTTCTTTGTGAAATACGCGGAATACTCACTGTGTTAATCACGGATCAACCATCAGCCTTCAAAGGTCCAAAACCCTTCTTCAACAGCGACCCTCCTGGAAGTTGCTGCTCACGCTGCTTTCTCCCAAGCCCAACTGTCCGACACGCTGAAGAAGGGCTTTGTTCTGCACCTGGAAACATAACTTGTTGATACTCAAGCTTCCCTAAAAATCTAAACCAAACCATCAGTGCGAGCGCTTCTTCAACGAAGCTCCCCCCGGCCATCAGGCAGGCGGGAGCTTCCTCGAAGAAGCGTGAGCGAACTCTCCTAGTAGTAACAAAGAAACCAACAAAAACGTCTGTCAGCTCCGAAACTCATCCAGAAACATCCTCAAACACCTCAAATCACTGAATTGACTTGATCCATTGTCCATCCCCACCGCGTTGTAAGCTTCCACAGTGAAACGCACTCTCACCAACCAGCGCTCTGCAAGACGTCGTCCACTGCCGCCTGCAAATCGCTGTGACCTTCAACCTCTTCAAGTCGCCTCAAATACCAAATCGCTACAACCTACTAGCAATGACCTCCACCCTACTAGCAATGGCCTCCAACCTCTTATGTCTGTGACTTCTTAGCAAGCACCAAATTTGCTGTCATGTGGAAGAGGCTTGGCAACAATGGCCAAAGCGCACCGAACGCTTTGCGGTCCTTCCAAGTAGATCTCAGTGCCCTCGATGGTCAACTTGTCCAGCGGTCCAAGCCTTACATCGGAAACCACTGAGAAACCGCCAGGCAGACCTTTAGAGGACAAAATACGAAAACGACAACAAAAAAACTCTTCAAACGACTTGAGCACTTGCAACCGGCCAAGATTCTCCAAAGATGATCGGAGTGCAGATTTAAGTGCATTCATTGCTGCTGGTAGAACAAGCTCCTCAATGTTCGTATCACAAAGCATTGGAAACAACTCTTTCTTGGAGCAACACAATGAGACCTATCCGAACAAAAAGGAAGGACAAGGCCATCGAAAGGCCGTTGCAAGCGAATTCATGCCTAAGGCCTTTAGACATGTTGGACCATGAAAAATCATCTAGAATCTGAATGATGTTTCCTTCGTTGGTGGACCGAATTTAAGTCATTCTTGTTCCAGGCATCTTCAGCATCTTCTCTTGAAGACGTACTCAATGTCATCTCGGTTCGCAATGGACCAGCAGGGACGTAGTTCTCCAGCCAAGGTGGCAATGTTGCCAGTGGTTCAATCGTTGTTGTGGTCGTTGTGGTGGGCTCTTCGGTAGTTCTTGGTTCCCAAGTCCTATCCGTTGTGGTAAATGCGGGCGGCTGCATACTCGTAGAGGCAGCAGCAGTTGTGCGGACTGTAGGTGCTCTGGTGTAGTACCTCGATCAGGGAAATTGTGGTGACTAGATCTGCTCAAAAAGCGATCGCGATTGTCACCAAGACACTCGACTGATTGAGTAGTGCGCGGTTGTGTTGGTGGCTGAGTGACTGGTGCTGGCCTCAGAGTTTCCCCTTCGTCTGTTCCGATCGATTTTTAAGCTCTTCCGCTGCTTTAGTTTCTCTTCGAAATCTTGTTTGCTTTAGTTTCCAAAAAGATCTAGGTCTGCAAGCTTACCTAAGCTACCAGTACTAGCTGCATTACTAGCTACCTCTTCCTCTATCCGCGGCCTACCCCCCCCGGGTTTAAAAAGGGTTTTCCAATGTTACTACTAGTAAGGCACTTGTTCCTAGTAGCGTGGCACTTGTTCCTACTAGTAAGGCACTTGTTCCTAGTAGCGTGGCACTTGTTCCTACTAGGAAGGCACTTGTTCCTAGTAGCGTGGCACTTGTTCCTACTAGGAAGGCACTTGTTCCTAGTAGCGTGGCACTTGTTCCTACTAGTAAGGCACTTGTTCCTAGTAGCGTGGCACTTGTTCCTCCTTGTCGCTTCGTCTCGGGTCAAGACGTTTGTGGTCTCTGTGAGGTCGACTGCGTGCTTGGCGGAGCTGGTGTAGTTCGTTCTGGGATCGACAAGGTGAACTCTTGCTGTGCCTGAATCGAAGCAAACCATCCACGTGATTCGATGGGCTGAGTCTTGCAACATGCCGGTTGAAACCAAGGACATCGCCTCATTGCCCCAAGGGTCGGTAACAAAGCACACCAATGTGTAGTCCTCACCCGGCTGCAACATGCCGAAACCTCAGTTCGGTTTCACTCAAAATCTAGGATATCTAGGAACCAAATGATGAGTGTGAGCGCTTCTTCAAGGAAGCTTCAAGAAGCATGAGCTATCCTGCGTTCAGTAGCAAGTAGCGAACTAGTAGCTATTCGCTTCTACCTCTCCCTTACTTAATTAAGTAGGGAGAGGGGGGAGGCGGCCTAAAAAAGGTTTTTCTGTTTCTCTCTGTTTCTCTGCGAGGTGCTGAGGTGCACCGGATACTCATTGGACCAGGCTTGCTCATCACAGCGGGGATAGAGACAGGTGCCTCCATAGGTCAGCCAACTCAAGTCCTGAACGAAACATCGGAAAAGACAAGAAACCATTTTTGTATATCATTTTTGAACATATTTCTATGTCAATATATTTTCCAAAACAAATACAGCAAAATAAACAACCTCTTTTAGTTCACTCCTTTTTCTTTATAAACCTTTTCGTTTATGTTCTTTCTCAGGAATCACTGTGCGAAGCTCATCAGTAGCTTGCGTCTGTGATTCAAGCAGAACACCAACTTGCATCAATATGGATTCGGAACACAAGAAGAATTCAACATGGTCAAGGATGTTCCTTTTGGTCAGTGTTGAAGGCAAGTGTCAGAATTTTTCTAGAAAACAAGACAATTATTCAAAACAAGAACACATTTCAACACATGCTTTCTATGTCTTCTTCTTTCTGTCACATCCCCAAGCATCATCCAGGCAACTCTAGCTGGCTTGAGCGAGATATCATGGCCGGCAAAGAAAGGGGGTCTTTACGGTCTTTAGGTCTTTTCTTCAAACATGTCAGATCTTGTTCTGCATGTGGGTTGGAGGCCTTCGCTACTAGGTCAGAGGCCTGTACCAAATTCTTCACCGATGCGTCCCGTCGTCCCCGTCGTCTTCCGTCCTGCTCCAACACTCGACACAGCACCCGACACTCGGTGCCGCTGCCAGCGACTCGGAAGTTGCAGCTCCCGTCCCGCAGCTCCATGCGGAAGGACACCCTTTCGGTGTTCCCGGTGAAGAAGCCTAACAAGGTTCGCTACGGGAGCAAAGGGCATCGCTACTAGCCAAGCACAGAGTGCTTTATCCTTTTCTCCAAGGCTAAACAAAGGTTGCTACATGGCTCATTGGCCGTTGATGTCCTTTTTGTGAATGCTGGGTGTGGCGTGCCAGCCTTCTGTGGTGGTCTGCACATCCACTAAGAGTGCCTGCACAACGCCTCAGTTAAGACATGAGCATGAACAAACATCGAAAATTCATGTACCATGTGTACTGCAAATTACCACGTGAGGGACAACAGATTTTAAGGTGCGCAGCATTAGCATCGGATGGGTGTCAACAAGAGCTATTCATCTACCTTCACTCTGATGGAACTGGAGAATCGGATGGCACAAACTTGCATGGTTCAATGTTTTGCACAAAATGTGACAGGTCTTCTTAATGATTTTGCTCCCAAACGACTCGATGTGAGACCATAAAAACTCCAGCCTTCTCCCTAACTAAAGGCACTTGAGAAACAACTCACGAAAGCGGTTTCAGCCAAGCCACGAGGAATCACACGATCCGATGTGGCTACTTCCTCCTGAAGCGTAAGAAACACACCAGCGTACCTGCAGAGTTTCTTTCACACTGCTAATAGCAATGGCCTTGCTCCTAGTATTGTCCTTGCTCCTAGCAGTAAGGCCAGGAGCCCCTAGTAGCGTCCTTGCTCCTAAAAGAGCTCTCTCCAAAAAGCAAGCACTTCTCTTTTGCGCTCCTCGCATGGCATAATCTCTCGCACCCAGCCAGTGCACCTCAAGGTTTCGTTGTTCTCCTGGCAAGAAATTCGATTCCGGAGTTCGGATTGGCTTCCAAAGAAACGAAAGGAAGAGAAACGAAGGAAGATTGAACGGTCCAAAAGGGAGAAGCAAACAAGACAAGAAAGAAAGAAGGAAACAACAAAAGAACAGTAGTAGTGATGACCTCCCACCTAATAGCGATGGCCTCCAACCTAATGCCCAAGATACGTCCAAAATGAAAGGACAGGTCAGTAGCCGTAGCGTTCAGCGTTCTTTCTGAATACACAATGCCTCAGTGGCCTGAAGGCGACGAACGCCCGGATAGTCAACAGGAGTGGTGATAACATTCTCTCCTGAGCAAAGAGCCAAGCAAGTTGGTTCTTAAAAGAAGTAATACAAAAAAAAAATATAAAAGGAAGTAAGGCAAAAAAAAACCTAGACAGAATACATGTCGAAGAAGGAATTTCTTTGCAGATGACCGAAGCAAAGACGACCTACAGACCGTGGAACATCGCTACTAGGAGCAAGGGCATCCCTACTAGGGGCTCCTGGCCTTACTACTAGTAACAAGAAGCTATTAGACACAAGAAATAGATAAATAGAAATTAAGTTTGATTAGAAACTGATTAGAATTGAAACAAGAAGCTACTAGGACCTTTTCGCGCGCGGGGGAGGTAGGAGCAAGGGCATCGCTACTAGTAACAAGAAGCTATTGGTGCTCTTGGCCTTCCGTGGCACTCCGAAGGCAACGGCCAGATCGGATCGCTAGTAGCATCTAGCTATGCCCTTGTTTCTAGTAGCGATGCCAGGAGCCCCTAGTAGCTTCTTGTTACTAGTAGTAAGGCACTTGTTACCAGTAGCGATGCACTTGTTCCTAGTAGCTTCTTGTTAGTAATAATGGCCTCCAACCTACTAGCGATGGCCTCCAACCTAGAAGCGTTTTGTAATTGTCGACTTGTTGTGCTTCTTACCAGTCTCTTCATCTGCCCATACAATCTCCATTTCATCTCTGACTCTGAGGCTCTTGTGTCTGCCCAAGGCAATGGCAGCACCACCATGCTCTGCATGATATCGTTGCCGATGGCGTCGGTCGCCCAGCACAGGACATCGTAGCTGCTATTCTCTCGTAAACTGGCAGCGCGCGGAGGAGTTTGTTCTGTTCGTTTGCTTTCTTTCATTTCCGTTCTTTTTGTCATTACCTTTCTTCCTTTCTCTTGAGACTTTTCGACCTGCCTTTGTCCTTTTTTCCAATCTTTTTTTGCTTTTTATGTTGGATTTTCTTCTCTTCGGTTGCTTTCGACCAGCCTCGGGATGGTGACATTGCGGGACTCTGCTTGGCTAAAATTCGTGTGGAACGGCAACGCAAAGAGCCGCTGCCACCAACTCCTTTCACCGGTGAAACTGAGCGGTAAAACCGTGACAGTTTCGGGAGTGACTCTAGGTGTAGAGACGACCACACTGCTTCGAGTCGCATTGACGGAGGCGGTACCTTTTTCCAAACCACATCATTAGTGTGCGTCCATGTGTAGCTAACTTGGGCCAGTAGCTTACTTCTTCCTTACTTATTTAAGCAGGCGCCTACTTAATTAAGTAGAGAGTGGGGGGAGCGAGCTAAAAAAAACAAAATCATTTCCATTCTTTTCCTTTTCTCAACACTCGTCTTGAGCGCTTCATGTGTGCTTCCCTGCCCCAGTCCAGCGTGCAAATTGCACGTGCTGATAGACCGATGCATCTGCCCAAGCATCCCATGCCTTCATCCACGTGACGTTGTCCTCGTGATTTTCTCTTGTCTCTTCGAGTCTCTTCTTCTCCTTTTTCCTTTCTTTCTTTTGTTTGAATCTTTCTTTTTCCTTCCTTTCTTGCTTCCTTTTTATTGCGTGATACGTGGACAATCTCACCCGACAACCGCCACATTCCAAAAATGGTCAACAATCTTTAAGACAGTGAGGATTCGTTGCACAACTGCATGTAGAACGGCAAGGACAAATGGATGAGTAACAAGGGCATTACTACTAATAGCTTCTTAGTAAGATCTAGTAAGGCACCTTATAGTAACAAGAACCCCATTGGGATCCGGATCCATCCCTGAACTCAGCTGCGCATCGTCCGAGAACTCAATGGAGATGTTGTTGGCACCGCAGACTGCGCCCACAGATTCGTTCCCAGAAGCACCATAGTCGAAGGAGACCTCTCAGTCTGTCGTGTAACGTCACTTGAAGCCACAAGAGTTTACTCAGATTTTGAAAGACATTAAATTTTTTTAAAGCCCTTCATGAAAAAGCAACTTCGTCATCGAACGTCGTTGCCGAAGGTCGCGCGGTCGCACCTGAGTCACCGTGGGCAAAGGCTCTGTGAAGAGCTCCACCTCGCAAAGCCGCAGCCGGCCATACTTGGCCACCACCCAAACCTCACGCTGTCGCAGAAACTGGTGAAAGGTCGGCCGTAGAAAAAGGAAGTCGCGATGCAATTGCTCCGTTCAGGGTCCGATGCCCTTTGTTCCGTTCGCAGCGTCCTCAATCTGAAGGAATGATTTCGGAAGTGTGTCGCGTCGGTTCTGGTAGCGGCCCTTGCCACTAGCTGGGCTTGTCACGAATTCCGAAGGTGGTTTTGGGCCGTTGAAGCCACAAAAAGCAAAACTTAGGCCTACCCTCCCTGGCCCACGAACAACGAGCAAAAACCAATTCCCGCTGAGTGTCTGTGCTGCCTCGACTCTCCTTCAGAAATGTCGAGAAATCAAGAAATGGCCACACAAGAAATGAACAAAAGAAACAGATTGAATCAAGGAAGCTTGCTCTTAGTGTTTTAGTTCAGAGAGAAACATAGATTTCAATCCGCTCCTGCATACAGGCTCTGGTGGCTGGCACTTGAAACGGATCCTCACATGCGACTCAAGTCGGGAAGGTTTGACGTCGCCCTTGAGGATGAGAGAAACAGAACGTCTAACGAAAAGGCAAGGACAAGGAAGGAAAAAACAAGTCTATTGAAAAGAAAAGAACAAGGAAAGAAAAGAAAGATCTAGAATCTAAAGGTCTAACGACAAAAAGAAAAAAAGGGAGGAGCAGTCTGAAAAGAAACAGAAGCTATAGCAGCGAGTCAAATGTTGCTTTCTTTCGCCGAAAGAAAGTCGTGCCTCCTGATGCTAAAGAGAAGTCGAAGACAAGAACATAATGTGGTGGACGAACAAGGGCATCGCTACTAGTAACAAGGGCATTACTACTAGCAAGTAGCAAGAAGCTACTAGTAGCGATGGTCTTTGTTACTAGTAGCTTCTTGTTCCTAGTAGTAATGCCAGGAGCTACTAGTAGCATTCTTGCTACTAGCCCTTTCTTTAGTGGCCTTCCTGGGGTCCAAACACGTCCATTCATGTAAGAAGAACATGACTTCTCAGTTTTTGAACGCAAAGTTCTTCGAATGCTTCGAAATCGCTTCTCCTCCAGAACTCCGATGGGCACATCTTCAGCACACAAGGTCCCTTGCCGCAAAATCGTGCTCAAGGGCACATGGAGCGTCGCTTCGTAGAAGCATGGGCGAATCTGGCGTCTCAAGAGCTTTCCAAAGAGCCACAGCTTTGGTTCTTAAGACTAACAGAGTAAACTTACGCATCTTTTTTACAAAAAGAGTTAAGTTTTCCTAACCATCTAGGAACCAAATGAATAGCGTGAGCTGTCCTGCGTCCAGTTACTAGTAAGCCTAGTAAGCATCGCCCTTAATTGATTAAGTGGCCCCCCACTCAGCTCAGAAAGAGCAGGCTATAAAAAAGGAGAAAAAGGACTCCACCTTCTGGTTCAAAGGGCCTTTGACCTGGAATGTCAGGGTAACATCGGACAGTCCAAAAGGCCTAAAGTTAAGGGAAGAAAAACACATGTGTCATGTGCCTTTTCTTAAGAAGACTTTCTTTCCTTTCTTTCATCTTCGTCTTCTTCTTTATCTTTACTCCGTTTTTCCGTCCTTTCAAGGCCAAACGCTTGTAATTCGCATCGAGTGAAGACGGTGCCTCTCGGACTGTGACCTCTAAGGCTCCATTGTCGCTCCGGATCACGGTGTTCAGCACGCCATGCCGATGGCCAGAAGCTTTTGAACAAGTAACGCCATTCTCCTCAGCTTGGGCGTTGGAGGCCGCTAGGTTCGGTGAGCGACACCTAGTAGCAAGGTGCCACAAAAGCCCAGGTAAGCTTCATATAAACTGTGTCATTGTTCTGGTGGACAGTTTCACTAAACACCCCTCACCCCGCCATGGACGAACGCCAATGTGGAGACCTTTTTTGACATTTGTTTCGTTCTATTTTCTTCATTCTTGTTGAGTTTCTTTCAACTGTGGAGACATGCACACATTTCTTCCAACGAAGTGTGCTTTCCAGGATGTGCAACACTCCAGTGTCATGAGGAGACTTGAAGCATGAAAATTAATGCTTCAGCAATCTGGCATCAATACATGCGTCATGTGCATGTATTAACACACACAAGACAAGGTTCTAGAGTTGGCACGCTACTAGGGGCTCCTGGCCCCACTACTAGGAGCAAATAGGCTCTACTAGTAGCAAAGGGCATCACTACTAGGAGCAAGGATGCTACGAATGGAACACATGAGTTGGCACCCCAGCTGCACCACGCATTTCTGAAAGGACACACCAAGCGGAGGAACTTGAACGGTTTAAGCTTTCACCAGTCGAGCATCAAAGCTTTGCTCATTTTGTGCTGTCGATGTATAGCCTTGGGTTGGTTGCCCGGAGCACGACAACCCACGGGCAAAGAAACAAACACGAAACGATCCTGGAACCCAAATGTCCACAACTGCAACCTGTAGAGCAAGCTAAACAAAGGTTCTGACACCTGTCCAAGCAGCTACCAATGAGGAAGTAATTTGATGCAGTATTGCTTGGGAAACCCAATGCATCGCAGGCGTGTACTGAGGATTGCTGATCTTCCTGCCCATTCTAGGAACCGTTTCTTGATTCCCTCTTCTCTCTCTCTCTCTTGCGCCAAAAGCGCACCTTCGAACATTCTCAAACCTTTCGTGCCAAGCATGCTTCTTGAAGTAAAGCCCTTTACAGGACAGTTTCTTTCTGCAATGTATATACGCTAAATGTACAAACTTGGGTCCAATCTATCTGTCCTCAATTTGCTGGCCAATGGTGACCCTGTAGCAGTATTGCGTCGTCGCATTGTAGACATAGAAAATCCTCAGGAAACGATCTTGTCGGCTTTTGTAAAAAAGCACGATCTGTCCAGAATCCTTCCTCACGTCCACGCGCAAATGTAATGTCCATTTTCATGCTCCAACTTGTCTATCTCACAAGTTAAGCTTCCCAAATCAATAGTGCGAAGCCTGAGGTTTTCTGTGCCCCAGCTGGTAAGCTACTAGCAGCCTACACCCTGATGTTTCACGCATCTGAACACTTGGCCTCAGGGTCCAAGGCACTGCCCGTTGTAGGAATCCACATCTACCACAGCGCTGACATCCTGCTCTTTTTGCTTTTTGAGCTCGAGCTGAGCACGCTTGTTGCAAACCCTTTCCATTTGCCCAGCTTGAAACGGTGAGCTTTTGAAAGGTAGATCTAGAGCAACAAGATATGGCAAAGACCTATTGTCTCATTTTGTACTTTCTTCTTTCTTTGGAGGCCATCGCTAGTAGGACAGCCTGGCCTTTGCTTAGTAGGTTGGAGGCGTCTTTCTTTCTGTCTTCTTTCGACTTCTCCCATCCTTCTGTGTGCTGGAAGACGTGAAAACGTCTGCGTGTGTCGCAACACCTGGACCACTTTGACCTGCGAGCCAAAGCCCTTGCCTCGGTGACGGGGAGGAACACCGCCTGGCGGCACCTTCTGGGCCTCCTTCGAACTAAAACCAAAAGGAGAAACCAATCGAACGCTAGGACACATGTTTTTGCCCAGATGGTGGGGGGTAGTTGTGAGCTAGTTAGTATATAGCTCTATTAGGTACGAAAGACGCTCCTAGTAATTGGACGCAGGATAGCGCTCGTGCTATTCATTTGGTTCCTAGATGATTGCTGCACCGTCGGTGCATGGTGGTCACATGCGTGTGTCATGGGTGCTTTACTGGAGCAGTTTTTTGGGGTTGTGGATAATTCAGTTCATCTCACGGAGTGGCCAGTGGTGTTCTTACCATGTTTTCTGTAAAATATGAAGTCTAATAGATGAAGCTAAGGAAGGTAAAACAGTCCAAAGAGGATAGAAGTCTAATAGAACCGTTGTTGTACATGAAACTAAACAACACCTTCATATGTGTAGTAACACGGGATAGTTTTTCGGTGAGGACCCAAAATCAAAGCCTTCATCAATTTGCCTTCTTCATGTCTATTTTCTACTTCCCTGACAAAAGCAACTAGGTTGGAGGCCATCGCTAGTAGGTTGGAGGCCATCACTACTAGGTTGGAGGCCATCGCTAGTAGGTTGGAGGCCATCACTACTAGGTTGGAGGCCATCGCTATTAGGTTGGAGGCCATCGCTACTAGGTTGGAGGCCATCGCTATGAGGTTGGAGGCCATCGCTATTGGGTTGGAGGCCATCACCCACTTCCCTGACAAAGCAACTACTTCTTCTCTGGACTTTTGCCTTCCAAGCTACACGATCTGCGTATTTTCCAAGCTCACGCGCCACCAGGGCTTGGCGTCAGGCGTGGGACTGCCTTCGCCTCCCGTCTCCATGCAACTGTGCCTCAGAAACATTATTTTTTTCAATCTGAGTGCAACTGCCCTATAGTAGCGATGCCCTTGCTCCTAGTAGCGATGCCAGGAGCCCCTAGTAGCGTCCTTGCTCCTAGTAGTAAGGCCAGGAGCCCTTGCTCTCAAGAGACAGTTCTTTCAATTTTGGAAGGTTTACCAGCTTTTTGCTGGAGCAACACATGAAGGCAAGGAACTTAACAACTCGAGTCCGACATGGAACACATGAGACTGAAGGGACATTGCTCTGGAAAATTGAAAGAAAAGACTCCTTTACAAAATCTTCAGAATCACGACGTTCTTTGAGTTTTTTCTTCTTTCTTTCTTTCTTCTGGATGGAGAAAAACAATCTTGTTTGTTTCTTTCCCTATGAAGCGGAAGAAGAAACGCATCATATGTTTTTTTTTTTTTTTTTTAAACTGATTTTTTTAGTTTATTTTTATTTTTTAAAGCTTCTTGTTACTACTAGTAAGGCACTTGTTACTAGTAGCGATGCACTTGTTCCTAGTAGCTTAATTGTCTTTCTTGCCTTCTTTTTGTGATCAGATCTGCCCACAGTTCTGCGTTTTAGCCCAAGGTTCGGATTGTCATCCGCCAAATACCTTGGATCGGCAGTGACAAGCGGGTCAAGCATGCTATGGATAGTCGATCTTCAACTTGTGCGCATTGTCCCCAAAACCTTTTCAGTCCTTTTCCCGACGTTTGCTATTAGAAACAACTGCATCGCTACTAGGAGCAAGTGCCTTACTACTAGTAACAAGTGCCTTACTACTAGTAACAAGAAGCTACTAGGGGCTCCTGGCCTTACTACTAGGAGCAAGGACGCTACTAGGAGCATTGACTTGTGCTGGGGCACCACATGCGGTCGACCGAAGCTCCACCACCATGCACCGTGGACTGCCACACGCGGAGGTTCTGCACCGCACTCTGAGGCTTCCGATGGCACTTGGAAAATGGGACACCTCAAGTGAGAAAAGGAAGCAGAGAGCAGCATTGCATCCTTCTTTCAGTCGTTTCAACCTTTCTTTACAAAAGAAAAGCACACATACAGAGGGCAGCATTGTTTCAGTGAACTCCGATCAGTTGAGACTTCTTGGATTTTCAGAGTCCGAGACCAGTCCAGACATCTTAAGACCATCCTTTCCCTTCACATCTGATGCATCAGGGTGAGAAGAAAGAACGCTGACTCGCTGGAATCAATGCCACTTCCACCCTCCTACACGGTAGGATACGCCGATTGAAGCGTGTCAAAAACGGCCAGATTCACAAGGAAGTGGCCTTTGTGGAACTAGTAGCTTCTCGTTACTAGTCGCGATGGCCTCCACCTTAGTAGCTTCTTGCTACTAGTAGTAATGCCCTTGTTACTAGTAGCGATGCCAGTAGCTACTAGTAGCTTCTTGCTACTAGTAGCTTCTTGTTGGCCTTCCAAGTTGCGAAGGCCAGAAGCAATTGTGTCATTCTGCTCGTTGTCAGCCAAGGTGAGCTGGTATTCGATATCCTGAACAGGCCAAGCCCACACATGCATATGAAGTAGGCACATCATGAACAAAAATAAAGGCAAAATAAAGCAAGAACGGAAAACATCAAGGAAATATGTCTTTTCTCCTTTAAAGTTGAATGTGTCACCAATGTCCTGATAGTTCGGCTTCCTCTTCGGTAGCGAGAATTCGAAATCGTGGGACCCTCACCCTCAAAAGCTAAATGGCTTCCTTTCTCTTTCTTTCTCATTCTTTCGACCTTTCTTTCGTCTCCAAAGCCGAACACCAAGCCACTCGTCCACAAAGCCGCACATGCGCTGAGATTGACAACTGGCTCCAGGGTTTCTCACCTCGACGGTAGACCTCGGGCCAGCGACCGCCCTACCCGGTTACTCCCTGCAACCAAAAGTGGAAGACATCCAGAAACATTCTTTTTGGAATGGTTTTTTAAAAGTGCAATGAGAGCAAAAACACTTTCTGAGGTAAGACAAGAATGCGCATTCTACTGGCATTCCAATTCCAAAGGGCTAGTACTTTGTCGAAGGCACAAGGTGAAACCATTCCCATGGAGTGCACAACTAACTATGCACAGTGCGCTCGACGCGAAAGCAATGCCAGAGATGGCATCGATGCAACGATTCCACTTGATCTCTTCTACCACCGTCCCCGCTTGGGCAAAGCCACCATGATATCATAGTCTCCAGCAAGTGCTATGACGAAGAGGCTGCTCCGTACCGGTGTAGTGCAGCCATCTCCTTGCAAATTGCTCAGCCGAAGGAAGCCGAAGGAAGCCGAAGAATGCTAGTAAGAATCCTCCGTTCGTAGCGATGCCAGGAGTCCCTAGTAGCGATGCCCTTGCTCCTAGTAGCTTCTTGTTTTCGACTTGTCTCTTCTTTGCTTGTTCGCCTTTCAAAACACGTGTCTTCAGGAATAAACGCACGCGCTGCATGGCTCTGGCCTGGATTGCACGGTACCGCATAGAGGCCGAAGTCACTGACACGATAAAAGTCGCCTTCGGTGAGGTTGAAATCCAGGTACTCTGAGCCTCGAGGCATGTGTAACAAGGTTCGCTACTAGGAACAAGGTGCATCGCTACTAGGGGTTCCTGGCCTTACTGCTAGGAACAAGAAGCAATCACACTTAATTAAATAGAATTTAATTCTATAATTGAAACAAGGTTCGCTACTAGTAACAAGGTGCATCGCTACCAGGAACAAGTGCATCGCTACTAGTAGCAAGAAGCTACTAGTAGCCCTTCCCTAGTAGCCTCGAGAAATGTCTTCGGCTTCCATCGCTTTGTCGCTTCGGTTTGCTCGGACTAGGCCTGGTCCAACGACCGACAAGTCGAGGTCATCCACATTGCCTGGCATTGAAAAACCCTGTTGTCGTGTCGATGTTGTCGTAAACAAACACTCCAAGCACATCGGAACATCTTCCAATGTATTCTTCAGTGTACACCTATGTCCCCCTTTAGAGAAAGGTGAAGAACAAAAAACACTACTAAGATAGTAACTGTTACTGAAACATGCCAAAAATTCCACGAACCTCCTTCTACTTCCAAGGTAGTGACTTCTTAAGCTTATATAGTAGTACCTTTTACTTATTTGCTTGAAGCCACCTCACGGCCTACCGCCGCAACACGTGCAGTCCAAACACCAGAACTCGGGTTCTTCCTCTCCCCTTCGAGGGTGGGAGAGGGCGTTTCGTCCTGCGTGTCACTTTTGAAGACTGGGATGCCTGGCTGACAAGGAAGACTGACAAGGACTCCTTACTACGAACGGAGCAAGGAAGGACGCTACGTTTGGGGCTCCTGGCATCGCTACGCCCGGAACAAGGACGCTACGTTAGGGGCTCCTGGCCTTACTGCTAGGAGTAATGTTCGCTACTAGGTATCTTTGACCTCGCCTTTCTTGTATGGCGCATCCAACCAGCCTTCCCAGCGGATGCCAACCACCAGGTCCCCCTCCAGCAGAAAGCCACGAGACCTCTAACAGTGCATCCAACCAACGGTTCAAAGTCGTAGAGATTTCAATGTCGGTGTGAGCAATGACTCATGAAGACTCATGAATTAGAAATGAGAAGCTACTAGGAACAAGTGCATCGCTACTAGTAACAAGTGCCTTACTAGTAGTAACAAGGACGCTACTAGGAGCATTCTTACTACTAGTGAGTCGACTCATGAAGACGAATCAAAGCAAGTGCGCACAAAAAGGTTCGCTCACTTGCGGTTTGATATGCCGTGCCAAAAAGCCTTACCGGCCTTACCGTTGGGTACCGGTTTCTGAAAGGCATTCCTGTTGGTGGCCATGTTCCCCAATTGTGAATGGACGCCACATTGTCTGGACACACCGACATCCAGGTCTGTCACCGATCGCCTTACTCGTGCAGCTGTCTCGGGCATATACTGCAGGTCTATTCCAACCCAGGCATCCTGAAGGCAGGTGACATGCCGCTACGAAGGGAGCAAAGGGCATCGCTACTAGGAGCAAGGATGCTACTAGGGGCTTCTGGCCTTACTGCTAGGAGCATTCTTGCTACTAGCATGTTGCTAATAGCGGCAGGTGAGGCTTGCTCTGACTCGCCAGTTTGCCTCTCTCAAGCAGACCTACCCGTTGGCCTTGTGCCTGGCACTGCAGTGAACGGACGTCCGGTCCTCCATGGGAACGGACCAGGCCGCCGTTTCGAAGGAGTCGATAAGGCCGTTGTCGTCCGTGTCGAGTCCAATCCTCGGACCGAAGACCGAAAAAGACGAAATTCAGAAGGCTTCTTACTAGCTTCTTGTTACTAGAAATGCCCTTGTTACATATATCGCAATATATATATATATGTAACATATATATATATATATACATATTCTGTTTAAAGCCGTAGAGGGCGGAGTAAGTAGAGGTAGTAGCTATGGAGGTAGGTACTAGCGATGGCCTCCAACCTACTCACCGTTTTGGAAATACATCAGCATCCCACACGGCCAGCTGTACATGCCGTCCAAGGCAAGCGATTGACAAAGTGCACAAGCGCTGCACATCCTGCAGTTCAAGGCTCAACCTAAGAAACCATAAGTAGCGGTGAACAAAGAAGCTTTCAAATTTACTGGGCATGGCTTTCAGAAAGAAGCCATGCATTAGTGCAGCTGCTCATGGTACAAGCTCTGCCCAAACTCGTGGCCCAGCTCCAGGCAAATCTCCTCTTCCGAGTAACGCTTCAGCGTCACGATGCGCCAAACCTCTTTGGCTTCCAATCTTTTGGCTTCATCGCTGCGCAAGAGCTTCTTTTCCTCCTCGAATGTCATCCTGACACAAGATGTTTTTCATCCTTTCATGGCTTCATATTGCTCCATGGCTCATCTAGGTTCTCTTCAGACATGGAAGAACTTCTGCGGCTTCGACAGATCTTCTTGAAAGGACAAGAAAAACAGCAAAACATCTGCTCATCCATCTGAGATATCTGCTTCCCTTAAACAAATCACGTACCTCCAAAAAGACGTTTCTTAAATACTAAAAACCATATGTGTATATATATATATGTATGTATGTATAACTATAATTCTTCATATTAAACTCATACGATTTCCCAGCTTTGAGTTCCTCGCCTCCTGCAAAGCTCACCAATCTCCAGCGACGTCCTCAGCTCGGACACTTGTCCTGAGACCAGCAAGCGAGTCTTCGGTGGGATCACCGGCAACTCGGGCGTCACTTCACAGCGGCCACCGGCAAAGGGGGAAGAGGCGGAAGCCCCGCCTTCTCCACTCGGTGGAGGCAAATGATGAAAGGGCCATTCGACCCACCAATCTTCCTCTCCTCGGCCAGGCCGTGGCGTCGCCAAGTCACAGGCTTTTCGTAAGAGCTTCTCCCCACAAATCAGGGCCATGCGACGCAGCTCTTGACGAGAGACATGGGCCAAGGCAGCGACCACTTCTCCATCCCGTTGGAAGCCCATCATCTCAAGCAAAGGATCTTCGCTATGTCCGATCACCGTGAGTTCATCGTCTTCGCACAAGCTCTCCAGCAAGTTCACATTCGTTCCGAGCTCTTCACCCGAAGGTCGAATCAAGGTGCAAGATCGAAGCTCCAGAATCATGGCCACCTCTTTCAGCAAGCTTGCAGATGTCTCGAACTCTGACAACTGGAAATCCAAGACCTTCTCTCCGGAAAGGGAGATCACACGCACCATCTCCAAAAAGAACCCGAGGCTTGAGGCTGGAGATGGCTGAAGGATATTACAACCTCAAGTTCGCTCATCCATGACTTTTCTCCGACAAAGTAACTCAAAGGGATACACACACACACCTTACATTTGCACAATGGCCAGCATACCAGTACTGCGTTATGGAAAGTGCACTGAAGCAATTTCAGCAAGTGTCACCCTCATAAGTCCGTCAAAGGCCCTCGACATTCAAAGAGCTTTGGATCTTTATTGGAAGACTCCCCAAAGAGCTTTGGCAGAGTGGTTGGGGAGGGCTATTAGAAACAAGTGCCACGCTAGTAGTAACAAGTGCCTTGTAGTAACAAGAGTGGTGATGAAAAACTCTGCCGCCCCTATTGGGACGGGAAGGTAGAAGAACTACTTCCCGATGGGTAGCATTCTTGACAGGAGTGCTTTGTAAGGCACTCCTGAAGCATGTTCAGTTAGCTTATTGTTTCTAATTGCTTCTTGTTACTACTAGTAAGGCACTTGTTACTACTAGCGTGGCACTTGTTACTAGAGGAGTATATGCAAGCGACTCGGGGCCCCAACCCATTTCACCAAGATTCGTATCTTGCGGCAGCAACGGATCCGAACTGAACATATGCCTCGGAGGAACACATTTTGGGCACCCCAAAAAGGGTATCCTTTCCTTTTCTTCTTCCATTCTTGTGCTTTTTTTCCCTTCGGTGATGTGTGTTTCTTTCGTTTCTTTCTTCGTTTTGAACCCGCTTCCCTCTCCTGCGGAAGGTCTGACCGAGCCAGCTCTGCAAATCAAGGCTTCGAAGCAGGACGCGATCAGCACAGCTCGGGTCCAAGGTGGTGTACCTCGCTCACGACAAACAAACAAAGAAGGCGACTTCAAACCCGAACGAAAAGAAAGGTTACAACATCCAACTCTTGTCCGCTCTCAATCTCTGGACTCCTGACTCCTTTCTTTTCTTACTTCCTTTTTGTACAGATTCTTCCTTGCTTTCTCTTCTTTCTCTTTGTCCATGACTCCAAATCTTAAAAGCATGTGAATTCATCGAGACCTACATGCTTCGTATTCACAAACAACTGGCACTTGCGGAATAACTTCACAGGGCACGTGGTGATGAAGCGTATGCGCCAGAAGCGATGCTCGAAATAAGCGTCGTGCTCTTGCGGCGCCCTGCCGTCCTGACTCCGGTGATGTGAAGATTTTGCAAAAAGCGACTGTGACGCTAGGCGACCAAGTACTAGCGATGGTCTCCAACCATGCCAAGCGCGGTTTTTTTGAGATGAAGACACCATGCCATGTCTCATTTTCTGACTAAGTCGACACGGAAGACTACGACGAGACCCTCCCAAGGGCAAGCTGTCCCACCCTCTCGACTCCTGCGTTGCCATGCAGCGTGCCAAAGCAGGGTAAGCGTCGCCCGGATCTTCAAGGCCTCCAAGAATCAAGAGGAAGAAAGAACAAGGAAGGATGGACTGAAAAAGATCTGGTTAAGGGGGTAAGGTTGTCAATTAGAAGTAGCTAAGCTCTGAGTTTAGTCAGTAGATTCGCTAAAGGAAGTAGTAGCCAGTAGCTAGCTGCTGAGCTACTAAAAAGCAGAAAACTCAAATCAAATTAGGAAAAGTAGCAAATAAGAGCTTAGACGCATTCCAAGAGCTTAGAAAGAGAAGTAGTAAAGCCAATTGCTTCTTATTTGTTTTATTTGATTGTCTAAGCTTCTTCTAAACGAACATTCTTCTGGAAGGAGCTACTTCTGGAAGTTACTTCTGAACGCACTCTCGGCTACCGCACGGAGCGGAAGATTCGAAAACAGATGCAAAACGAAGTCACCAAAAGAAACCGTGTTCGAACACGTTTGCAAAGGAAAACAAGAGTAAGCAGAAAAACACCGTTCCAGAACATCAGAAGAATCTGATGATGTCTGAAGTACAGAAAACCAAACACTTGAGACATTTTACTCCGACAGCTGACAATGACTGTTGGATTCATCTCTACTTGTCTCCAAAAACAATTGATCAAACAAAATGCTTCAGAAGACTTGAATAAAACACGCTCCGACGGCTAAGCTCCGAACCGACTTCCACGGTGATGGAGAGGTCTGTGGGGTAGATGTGGTTGATTTGCAGCTTTGGTGCTGTTGTATCCTCGACACGCCAGGAGTCTAGAGACTAGACATCCAACGATATTTCGAGCGCTTTCTTTCAAAGGTGTTTAGAACCCAAGGCCTCTTTGTGCTGAAGGTGTTCTGACTAGAAGCTTTTCCTTTCTGCCCTTAAGCTACGAACGGGGCTCCTGGCCTCGCTACTAGGAGCGATCGGACGCTACGAACGGGAACAAGAAGCTATTAGGAACAAGTGCATCGCTTCTAGTAACAGGTGCCTTACTATTAGAAACAAGAAGCTATTAGTAACAAGTGCCACGCTACTAGTAACAAGTGCCTTACTAGTAGTAACAAG